TAAGGCACCGGTGACACAGACGACGTATCAGTACCATTACTCTTCCCAATTCCATCAGATGACAACTGGTTCGCAGGCGACCCCGTGGCCACTCGAACAGCCCCTGCAGCTCCTAACCCAACCATTCCCATCCCTGAACTCTGAACCAGAGTACCATTCAGACCCTGATCACCAATTCCCATAATCCCACCCCTCATTCCAGGACTACCCAGTTGAGCATTTGGTCCCATAGGCAATGGAGAAGTGTTGTAAGTGACAGGTTGCTGCTTGGGAAATATTTGCTGCTGCTGTGGTAACTGTTGTTGTTGCTGATTTGATCTAACCCCATTAGCATTCAATGGCAAATTGGAGGCCTGATTAGGAACTTGACTATTGGTCTCAGAAACTCTATTCCCCATAACCCCGACACCACGATTCGTTTGCTGAAACTCAAAGTCCAAATTACCGCCAGTATTACCAAAACGAGATAAGTCACCAAAAAAACCAGCACCATTATTAGCTGGCTTTGGAGCTAATTGAGCCTCTTCTCTAACAACCCCAGCTTTGACCAGAAACTCCTCCAAAGTCATCTCTCCCAAGGTCTGTTGCCTCTGAGGCATATTAGACCCACCAGCACCAGTCCCTTCTTTTGAGATGTTCTTCCAGACCTCATCAACAGTTTTCTGGCTCAGCGTTCTGGGCAGGGTCAGCGAGCCCTGTCTCTGCAGTGACCCGCCACCGAGGCCAAGCCCATTCTGACCACCAGCTCCACCACCAGATGGAGCCATAATCTGAGTCTCTTCAGCCGTCCATATGCTCTTCAAGAGCTCGTCCATGTTCATGGACCCAAAGTCCTTGCCTGAGCCTCCAATGGTGTTCTGCAACTCCTCAAACGTCAGCGAATAGATCGAAGACTGCCTCGCTAATGGGTTGATTCCTGGTGGCTCGTTCCCAAATCCCTTGAAGTTCATGTTGGTACCCATTTTTGTAAAATCTGAGTGAAACAGACCAAAAAAAAAAAAAAAGAAAAAAAAAAAGTTGAGAACTTCAGATTTCGTCAAATTTGTTTTTCCTACGACTGTTTACTAAAAGAGCTTCCTTCGAGTTCACGGAACTTAACATTGTCAACTTTCAGCCAAACAAAGACTCAATTTCAGCTAACCCCTAATCAATTTCCAGGTCACAGTGTTTTCGTTGAGCAACCAGAGCTCAAAATTTTCAGGCAAAACAAAAAAACCACTCAAAAAGACTGAAACTTGTCAAAACAAAACAACAGATCAACAGATCAAGAAGCAGATGAACAAGAAGCAAAGACAGAAACTTGAAGAATGATATCAACCCAAAATGCCAAAAACGCAAAAAATTCTACTTGAAGATGCTGTGTGTTTTTACCTTCTTTCTATATCGAGCAATTTTGAAAAAAAATGTTGGTGGTGGTCTGGTGGCTGCGGTTCCTCCTGCTTCTTAGGGCTCTGGTGGATGCGCCAAGTGTCTGTTGTCCCTTTGCCCTCCTTTGCCTTTTAAGACAACGAGGAGTGGGGAAGGTCGGGGCTTATCATTGTTTAATACAGAAATTAGTATAATAATGGGCGGCGTGGACCAATCAGGATGGGGTAGAGAGGATTTGATGTGACATTTGACCAATCATGTTAGGCGATGTGGGAGAATCCTGGCCGTCCACGTCGCTCGCAATGAAGGGTTGGATGGGGTCGTTTGAATTATAGTGGTGGGGATGGGGATAAGAACTAGCGATTGTAGTACGCTCACACAAAAAGGGCATGGTCCCACTCGCGTTAGGTGCGATTGGATCGGAGCAAGTCCGGGGTAATATCGTCCATAAAAAATATTTATTTATTTATTTAAGATTTATTTTTCTTTTTTTGGGTCTAAAAAGTTATTTTCTTGTCTGGTGCACGTGAAAGAAAGCTATGAGTCGACAAAAGTCAGGCTCAGCGCAAAACGTTCAGATATTTTCACACCAGCACAAGTATATTCTAAACTTGTCCGGTTGGACAATAATGCCCTTCTCATTGTTCTTAATCAACTCACTAATTATTATTATATGTAATTTTATTGAACGCCTAAGAATTAGTAAACCGTGGATTTTAGGTAGAGATAAATGGAGGAGCGAGATGCAACAATAGCTCCCAGCGCAGTGGGCCGTGGACTATGATGGGGCAAGGGCAACACCGTCAGTCCATAAAGCTTTTACAAAATAAATAATCGAATTAAAGTTTTCCTTTAAAAATTAATAATAATAAAATAAAAAGTTAGGTAGGGATCTTTTTAAAAGTTTTGGACCGAGTACAAGAGCCGGCCGTTGATCTACCAAAAATAGGCCAAATGGCCTGTCGACACACCAATAAAAAGAAATTTACATCACTAATTAAGTTGAGGTTTCAAATGACAATATTTATTTACTTTCAGCCACATTTAAGTGTTCATTTTGTTTAAAAAACCGGGTTCGAATATCATGAATTCTTTAAAAAAAAGTATATATGGGTTTAACTAAGAGCATCTCCAAGGGAAATGTCAAATACCAAACATTAAATTTAAATTTGATGGCTGATGTGACAATTTGACATCTACATACTTCTACACTCCACCCGATATGTCAAATAAATAATTATTGTAACAGTCAAATCATTTAAGATAAAAAATAAAAAAAATAAAAAAGGAAAATAATAAATGAAAGTAATAGTCAGTTGTCTTTAAAAAATAATAAAATATTCATTTGACATCTTGCTTTTGAGATGTCAAAAATAACATCTCAACCTCTAGCCTTCATTCCACATCAGCTTTGACATATCGGTTGGAGTGATGTGAAATATTATTTCTAGCTGTTAAATATCTATGTGGCACGTTTGACACATCGGTTGGAGATGCTCTAAGTTGGCTATAACTGATGTGCTTCCCCGTTCTACACTTAAGTTCGAATCTTCTTTCCTATAGTTTAAATTAGATTAACGTAGAATTTTATTTTTATTAAAAAATTTATAAATAAAAAAAACAAATGTTGAAATAGAACTTGTTTAGTACGGACATGTGAGGGTAGGGTTGAAAAGTCAGTGTGATCCAAAGAGTGAACAAGATTAATATTGAAAGTCAGCTAAGTAATTGATGTTATGAAACACTAATTGAGATAAAATAATTTGATCGGAACACTGTAGCACACGCAATTATGAAAAGTTGTATGGCTATAATTGGTTGATGGAGGCCCTTTCATGTTATTATATTTGAGCAAAAGAAGAAAGTAAGAAGCCAATAGAAGCTGTTGATATTGACAATCTAGTCTCATTATCTGCTCACACAAACCTATAATTTATCCATGGACGGTGTGAATTCTTAGACTTGATTGCCCGTCTGATCACACACAACCTCATTTTTTTTAATTTAAAAAAAGGAATTATTATTATTATTTTTTTTAGTGAGAAACGTCATTCAATTTTCAATCCATTGAAATATACGATCTTAGTTATTTTCAACTTAAGGTCCAAAGAAGGCCAGGAAAAGTGAGAAGAAAAAATTTGCAAATTATTTTCTTATAAGGTGGAGTTTTCAAGGGAAGATGTGGATGAGGATGCAGGGTTTTGCTTGTGGACTAATTTAGGCCATTTTTGCAAAGGACAATCAGTACATAGCCATCTTCGCATTCAAAGCCACATGCATTATGATTGTTTTGGATATGAAGTGACGATATTATGTCAAAGTTAAGAAAGGCGAGGGGAGAAACTAACACACACGAGTACTATGAGAGCTTGAATTCCAGACCATTTGAAAAGTTCAGGTCAATCCAACTAACACAACACTCATCCATTAGAATTGACAATATTAAGAGAAGGCACATGGCGGGTTTAGAAAATGGAGAATTGAAATTTATTCCATAATGGCATAGTTGCCGCTGGCAATCTGAGATTGGAAGCGAAGAAAATGGAAAAGGCTGTCAAGCATGCGCCTTTCCTTGTGCTAAAATATTGCCTTAAGTGAACCCTTTGCTATAGTGCCTGCTTACGTAAATTTTCCTCTTTTGGATTGGAATTTTATCCTTGTGAAAGCGAATGCCAAGATAATGTGCAAGTAAAGGAACACAACCCGACAAATTCGTCATGTACTATTCTATTCCTTGTTATTCACTCACTCGTACATTGAATTCAGATATTTACTCAAAGTCTTGGTGAAAGAATAAAAGGGTTCTTCGAGCAATAAAGAGCGAGTTTTCCGTCCTTTTAAAATGCAAATAACATCTCTCTTACAAAATGTCAAAACAGCTTGCAAACTTGGACTTGTTGTCGTCACTCATCCGTCATGTATCTCCCTATCGCATTCAAAAGAACCCTCTAGGTCCTGTTTATTTTAATTAGCAACCTTCAAATTACTGGTAGCAGTTGTAATTTGGGAAGCTTTTCAGGCGTGGTTGGGGAAAAAGTTGGGGTTTTTATAGCAATTATGTTTTGTAGTATTTTGTTCATGACATGGTGCCAACGTTCTTCTAAATGAACCCACAATTTTGAAAGGAAAAATAAAAACATTCTCATTTCTCTGGTGCTAGTGCTCTCTTTTTTTTAGGTGTGATGTGAGTGCATACTTGCATAATGAATACGTGTTTCATATCAGACGCTTCAACACAAATGGGTGTCTATGAAGCCTCATCCCATCCGAGAAAAAAGCCTCGCATTAAGTCGATTGATGTGCCATTACAAAAGGGGTCCGTGTTTATAAGTGCAGGAAGCGGATTTTCAACGAGCTTTGTTTGCTTGGCACTTGGCAGTGATGAAGTCACAAGAAACTGAAAACCTAGGAGATTGAATGCCTTCTGGGTCCTCTAATTCAGAAAAACTTACTTGCAACGGGAATTGCTATTCTTGATTAATAACATGTGAAAAAATTATTCCACGTATCATTGCGTTATTGGCAAATGAATCAAAAAGTGTATCCCTGTTGCATGAAATTGTTTCTCCCTCTAATTGCATGCTTGATCCCCTTGTCGCCAAATGATCATTTAGAGAGAGAGAGAGAGAGAGAGAGAGAGAGAATACCACCCACTCCATTTCATTTAAGAGAATATATCAAAGGCCAAATACAGTTTTTGTGCCACAGCATTTGTTACCGTAGTTTCATTGTAACAGGTGCATCTCTACCTTGAAAGAATTTTCAATATCTACTACTGCTACTTTCTTGACCTTTAATCTGACAATTAAAACTGGCATATAACAAGCAATATGGAGGCAACAAAAATTTTCTTTTAACATACAGGTTATACAAAGTCAGATGGTTTGATTATTTGGCTTCATAAACCACGTCTGCGCTTTCGGAAATGTCTGAGGATGAAGCTGTCTGCGTATAGAGGATAGTTCTTCCTTATCAGCCCCTTTATGCACTTCCAGTATGAAAAGTCGACCAATGTTCCATCCTTTTGAACAATGAACAAACATCTTGAACTTTCAAAATCAGGATGATAACCAACCTGTCAACACCCAAAAAGAGAAATTTGCATCATTTTAGGAAATCCAATTCACTTGTAAAACACTAATATCAGATACTTAAGAAAACTAAAAGTTGCTCATGTTTGACAAGGTATCAAATGCAGAAGAAGATTTCCATATTTGGTTTTAGAATTCAAACATGACCGCCCGATGTCAAGTGCCACCATTTTGGAAGCATGTTGTTGAGATCACAGAACCTACTTTTCAACATTTCAGGATTCTAGGAGTGGATTAAAATGTCTTCGGTCAACTAACTGTTCATTATATGTGTTCTGAACACCAGAAAGTAACAAGTAACAATTCTTACTTATCATTCACTGGTGAAGCTCATACCAGAAACAATACAGGTAACTATATATCTAAAGGGAAGTAGAGTGAATGAGCCCCAACCCCGTTCCGCACTGGAGTGATGGAGCGTAAACACTCCCACACCAGAGTGCCAGAGTGCCAGAGTTCAATGGGGAAGCATTAGTAAAATGCATATCTGATGATGGAGGACAAACATTACATGCATAAGCTAACATAAGCCCCAAGTTCCTATAGACCAGTTGTTAGAAGGAAAAAAGAAAAAGATGGAGGATGAGCCAGAGTTGAATGATTCATACAAGATAAGAGTTGTAGAAATTCAAAAGCAATGCAGTCTGATCAATGGCAAAACATAAATGATTGATATACACAGTTTAATTACAAAAGTAACAGGCATATCCAAATAGATAATAACTCATGTTTTTCAAAATTCTCAGTTGCCCAAATTTTCTTACTCATACCCTCTTCTATGGAAAACTATATTTATATTTAACAAATAAAAAATGGGCAATCAGGCAATCCAAACTGAGACCTATATGGAAATATCCAATTATTAAATTTAGCACAAAAAAATTCATACCCAGAAGAGTAAAAGAAGCTAAATTAGAGAGAATTGAATAAAGGAAGAGACTTTACTGTGATATAATCAATCCCAGAACCGATCTTCTTCTGAGCTTCAGGGTGAAATGGAAGCAACCTCTCAAGAACAGTCTTCTCATGCTCAGGGCTCAATCTATCTCCGCTCTCGTATTTCCCAGAATGAAGTATCATCCTCACGAACCCAACCAGAGGAACCGTGTCTTCCAAAATCTTATCTTCCCAATCGACCCATTTCCCGTCTTCTCCTTCATCTTCATCAGAAATTCCATCCATGTCCTTCCCGGACGACACCACCGGCTTCCGAAGCAATCCCGGGTCGGGTCCCTGCGTTCCTGGCCTCCCGGTTCTGCTGCCCCCGTCCGCTCCGGTCTTCAGGGCACAGAGACGGGCCTGGAGCGCCGTCGTTTTGAGGAAAGGGAAGGATAGAGTTACGGGGCACGGGTTGAGAGTGAGGGAGTTTATCTGGTGGTGGACTAGTGGCGGTGATCTAGAGAGAGATGCCATGGCTGTGCCCTAGCTTCTACTAGCTTAAGCTCTGCTGTAAGTAACTCTGCTCTTTTAGTTATCAATTCTCATACTTCTTCGAAGTTGAAGCCTTGAAGATCCATTATCAGTCACAGCCAGCGCCTGTAGATGCTTTAGCAGATAAAGAAGCAAAATGCCCGCTCGGTTCTCCACTCTCCACCTCTACCTCCAATCCTTTGGGCCAGCCTGGGTTTGCTACCAGAAGCCCAAAGCCCAAAACCCAATTCTGAATTTTGGCTTGGGTCAACGGTCAATTGTTTGACCCTCCATCAGTGCCTAGGGATTACAATTTCGGAGACGACTTGAAAAAAACAAGAAATAATCGAGTATAATACCTATAACATGATAAATATAGGTATAAATTACTTAAACATTACTTAAAACTTCATAGTATATATGATCCTTGAAGATTAGTTTTAGAGAAAATGATTTGTAAACGGATTGTGTGTGTTATTTTGTATCACATATGTAATATTAATAATCGTGTCGTGTTTGTGTTGACCCTAATGCAACATGAACATGAATTTAACAACCCAACAGTCCCTCTGATTCACTATTCAACTCAGAAATTGAGCACCACCAAGCTTTCCCATCTCTTCCTTCTCCTCCTGACTCAAAATGTCTTTGTCGAAGAAGAGATTAAGAAGTTGAGGAGCAAGAGCAACAGGGTCTTCATAGATTAGACTCTCTGTCACACACACACACATATATATATATATATATATATCTACTCATCTATATACCAATTTCTGAGAATCTGCAAGACTGCAAATATAGTTCTGAGAGGCAATGCAGAAAGTTGTCAGATATAAACAAGGCCCTCACTTGTTTGTATGCTTAGCTTTTTTGCATGACCATTCTGAGATGCATTTTGTTTGACTTTGATATGCATATAGGGCAGTACTTAATAAAGAAGCAAGACCAAGCTTGGTTATTGACTTCAATTCAATACCTCAAACCAGTTGGGAGCTCATTTCTCATTCCTCTATTTCTTGCCCTCATGCTGTACAGCTTGTTACCTGAGAATTGAAATTTTCTTTCCTATTTAACAATTATCATGTCTCTATCACATACTCATCTACAAATCTATTTCTGAGAATCTACCTATATTCTTCTCAGAGGTAATGCAGGAAGTTGTCTTAATAAACAAGCAAAACCAAGCTACCAGAAAAACAATGATATGTTGACTTTCATAAAATATTGCACCCAATAATAAATCAGGGAACCCAAATTTCAACTAGAAAGAATTAGCTACAGCACGCTAACAGCCAGGGGAATGCAGAACCCAGTACAATCATTTTGAAGTGTCATGGAAACAATGACAATAAAAAATTTCAGCTTTGAATCTTTCTTGATTGCCCGCTACCAAAAGTCAACTCATTCAAGCTCTCAATAAGATACATGATACTATATATTTCCATTATTCTCCAAAGGAATAGCATTAAAAAGCAATATGTCTGGTGGTCTTTCTTTCTTCTTGGTATTGCTATCGTTGGTGAGTTCAGTCAAACCTGATGGAAGTCAGGACAAATGTCAAATAACCCAACAGATAACTGCAAGAGTTGGTTGTGTCATTGATCACAGCTCTCGAGTGGGAAAAGAACAGAAAGTAGCCATGGAAATGGCTATCCAAGATCTTTCTAAGTCAATCTGCGCTAGAGTGGATTTACACCTGAAAGATTCACAAGGGAACTCAGCTCGAGCAACAGCTGCAGGTAAAGTTGTATCTACACTTCTAAACTGTTATATTTGCACGCCAATTTCAGCAAACTTTGGTTACTTCTCTCTGAAATGAAAAAGTATTTTTGTTTTGCAGCAATCAGTCTCCTCAGTAGCAAACAAGTTGTAGCCATCATCGGAACACTGACTATGCAAGAAGCAGCTCTACTCTCTGAGATCGAAAATAGTTTTCCCATCATATCCCTTACTTCCACCGCCACGAGCCCACCATCAGAGTCACTTCAATGGCCAATTTCCATCCAAATAGCTAACAACATTGCCTTCCATATGCAATGCGTTGCGGCCTTAGTTGGTCATTTCCAATGGCGAAAGGTGACTGCAGTTTACGAGCACAATAATGAATTTTCCTCTCATTTAGGGATCATAACTCTCCTCTCTGATTCACTTAGATTAGTCAACTCAGATATTGAACACTACCAAGCTTTCCCATTCTTGCCTTCTGTCTCACACCCGGAGGCCATTGTTGAAGAAGAGCTTAAGAAGTTGAGAAGCAAGAGCAATAGGGTCTTCATAGTGATGCAGTTCTCTTTGCAGTCAGCTGTCATTTTCTTTGAAAAGGCAAAGCAGCTGGGCATGATGGACAAAGGCTATGTGTGGATTGTCACAGATGAGATTGCAAACCTTCTTGATTCTGTTGACACTTCTGTCAAGTATAACATGCAAGGTGTCATTGGTATTAAAATTCACTTTGCAGAAACCTCATTCAAGCAGTTCAAAACCAGATTTCGCAGGATGTATGGATTACGGTACCCTGAAGAAGAAGAATATTCTAGTCCTAGTATCTTCGCTCTCCGAGCTTATGATGCAATTTGGGCCACTGGTCGAGCCATTAAAATATTGCAACAGGGGAATGTTACCTCAAAAGAACTGTCTCAAAAAATCCTGTCGACTGCTTTCCAAGGTCTAAGTGGCATGATAGAATTCAAAAATGGAATGCTATCACAACCACCAACCTTTCAAATCATTAATGTGATTGGCAGAAGCTACAGAGAGGTGGCATTCTGGTCACCAAGATACGGTTTCTCAGAGAACTTGATGAAACATACTGATATGAATGCTTTTGCTGAAGTTTTGGGTCCAATCTATTGGCCTGGTAGATTACAGATAACCCCAAAGGGATGGACACCTGTTGATGTGGATAGACCCTTAAAGATAGGGGTTCCTGCGATGGGTGCATTCACGCAGTTTGTGAAAGTAAGATATGACCCGGACACGAATGAGACAGACATCTCAGGATTTTCAATTGATGTGTTTGAAGCAGCTGTCAAACATCTCCCTTATCAATTGCCTTACGAGTTTGTGCCCTTCAATGGCTCATATGATAAGATGGTGGAACTGGTCTCCAATAAGGTAGAGATTCTTTTTCTTCTGCACTAATTCCACTCCTAAGATGACCACCATTTGCAACATTGAAGTGTCTTGGCTTTGTGTACTAATGCTGTTTATGCAGCGCTCAATTCTATATATACTGATGACCATTTTACTCTATGTAAAAAATAGAGCTTGGATGCAGCTGTTGGTGATATAGAAGTCATAGCAGATCGGTACCGTTATGTTGAATTCACACAGCCATACATAAGCTCTGGGCTGGAGATGGTAGTCACTGTGAAGCCAGAGGAGCTGAAGGAAACAGAGATGTTGGTGTGGCCTTTCACCAGAGAAATGTGGTTCCTCCTGTTTGTTACACACCTTTCTGTATGCTTGGTCGCCTGCTTAATGGAAATTGTACATGGACGTAGCTTAGAGGACATTGGAGCCTTTTGGTTCTGCGTTGATGTCCTGTTATTTGCGCCAAGTAAGTACTCATAAAAACTAAAGAAATCATACTTATATTACTTGTCACCTTACTGGCACCCTCTATAACATACAGCCTCATATGATCTCCTACATTTGTACAATGTGCAGGAGAACAATTTAAGAACCCTTGGGCTCGGTTGCTGCTGGCTCCATGGCTATTGGCGATTGTAGTTGTAACAGCTACTTTCACTGCAAGCCTCTCCTCCATGATGACCATCTCTCGGGTCCAACCATCTGTGCTTGATATTGAAACACTAAAGATGACAAATGCAACTGTTGGTTGCAATGGAAACTCTTTTATTGTGAGGTACTTGATTAATGTCTTAGAGTTTAGACCAGAAAATATCAAGAGTATTGCCTCCATAAGTGACTACCCAGAGGCCTTTGAGAGGAAGGATATTACAGCAGCTTTCTTTGTTTCTCCCCATGCTAAAGTCTTCCTTGCAAAATACTGCAACGCTGGCTTTACCAAAACAGGATCAGTGTACAAGCCTAGCGGTTTTGGATTTGTAAGTTTCACCCCTTCCTCTGCATTTCTTTTGTTTACTTTGTTTATTTTGTTTACAAGATAATGTTGCATTTCTCATCTCTGCTGCAGGTTTTTCAAAAGGGTTCGCCTCTGGCTATTGACATCTCAGAGGCAATGTTAGAGGCAACTGAGAGTGGACAAGTGGAAAAGTTAGAAAAACAAATGCTCTCCTCTTATAATTGCTCCTCTCCAATCAACTCAAACAACGGTTCAATAGGTCCTGGACCTTTCTCTGGCCTATTTCTAATAGCAGGTTTGGCTTGTGCATTGGCATTTTTGGTAACAATTGTGCGTTTAGTGCGCGAGCATTGGAGGAATTTTCTTCCTGGAAACGTGCTTGAGGAAGTTGAGCTGCAACCCAACCCTGTTAACTAACACAAGGGTTTGGAGATGGAATTTTACATAGCTGTGTGCTGTGAGAATAATCACTTTTAGTATTGTCGTGAGAATTGTCACTCCTAGTAGCTCTGTGAAGAAAAGCAGTTAAAGTATTTGAAAAATTGTATTTAAATGTGCCATAAGTATATGAGAAGTTGAGCATTGGATAATTTCAATTTCCAAAGGGTTGTGGCAGTGTATGAAGGCTAAAATGAACATTATACTTGAAAAAAATCTTGCATCCGTAAAGAAAACAAATTATACAACCCTTATTTTATTTTTCTAAAACATAAAAACAGGCTAAACAAATTGCTTTGGTGAGGAACAACTAAACAAATCCAAGGAATTGACTTATTTTTTTTCTTCATTCAAATCCAAATTCAAGCCAAGCTTCCTAACTGGTCGTATGACATGTCTCTATCACGAATAGTAAACATCTACTCATCTACATATATATTTCTCAGAAGTATGCAGGAAGTTGTCTGATACAGAGACAGAGGCCACAATTTGCGTTGAATTCTTGGTTCTGACCTGAACTGAAGACCTCAAAAAAGTCTGGAGCTATTTACATTTGGGGGAGGCTTTTTCGACGGGCCAACCTACAAAGTCCGCACCGGGCCAATTTTTCAACTCAGCTAGCTTCGAGAAAAACAAAGATATGTTTGGTGCTGACTTAAATTAAATATATAATGTGTTAAATTTCAGAGAGACTGGCCAACCTACAAAGTCCAAAAACAGAGAAGCATTCTTTAATTAGTGAATAAATGTCTAGCAGTCTCTCTTTCTACTGCCAACCTAAGCAAAATGTCTAGCAGTTTCTCTTTCTACTTGGTTTTGCTGTTGTTGGTGGGTTCAGCCAAGGCTAGTGGAAGAGGGAATAAATGTCAAATAACTCAACAGACAACTGCAGGAATAGGTGTTGTTGTTGATTACAGCTCTCGTGTGGGCAAGGAACAGAAAATAGCCATGAAAATGGCTATCCAAGACCTTTTCCACTCAACCTGTGCTAGATTGGATTTGCACCTTAAAGATTCACAAGGCAATTCAGCTGGAGCAATAGCTGGTGGTAAAGTTATATACTTAATGTCACAAACTGATATAAACGTTAGTCGTTTAATGCTCTTGAATTTGCATGTCAATATCATCAAAATTTGGTTAGTTGGGTCTAAATATGGACATGTATGTTTGTTTTGCAGCAATCAATCTGCTCAATAGCAAACAAGTTGTGGCCATAATTGGAACACTGACCATGCAGGAAGCAGCTCTAGTTTCTGAGATTGATCATAATACCACCAAAATGTTTCCCATCATATCACTTCCTTCCACTACCATAAGCCCACCAACTGAGTCTCGTCAATGGCCAAATTTCTTCCAATTAGCTAACGATATCCTCTTCCATAAGCAATGCGTTGCAGCCTTAGTTGGTCATTTCCAATGGCGAAAGGTGACTGTAATTTACGAGCACAAAAATGAACTTTCCTCCGCTTCTGCAATCATGATTAGTATCCTTTCTGATTCACTTAGATTAGTCAACTCAGAGATTGAGCACTACAGAGCTTTCCCATCCCTTTCTTCTCTCCCTGACCCGGATGGCTTCATTGACAAGGAACTTAAGAAGTTGCGAAGCAAGAGCAACCGGGTTTTTATAGTCATGCAGTTTTCTTTACAGTCAGCTGTCCTTCTCTTTGAAAAGGCAAAGCAATTGGGCATGATGGACAAAGGCCATGTATGGATTGTAACAGATGAGACTGCAAGCCTTCTTGATTCTGTTGATTCTTCTATCAAATACAACATGCAGGGTGTTGTTGGTATTAAAACCAACTTCATAGAAACTACAAGGACTTTCAGACGGTTCAAAACCAGATTTCGCAGAATATACGGACTACAATACCTTGAAGAAGAAGAAAATTCTAGTCCTAGTATCTTTGCTCTTCGAGCTTATGACACAATTTGGGCGATTGCTGGAGCCATGAAAAATGTTACTACAAAAGAATTGTCTCAAAAAATTGAGTCCACTTCTTTCCAAGGTCTGAGTGGCAAGATAGAATTCAAAAATGGCATGCTATCACAACCACCAACCTTTCAAATCATTAATGTTGTTGGCAAAAGCTACAGAGAGATAGCATTCTGGTCACCAAGATTTGGTTTCTCAGAGAACTTGATCAAGCACAGTGACATGAAAGAGAGGATTGAGAATGGTTCTATTCAAGTTTTGGGTCCAATCTATTGGCCTGGTGGCTTGCTAGCAACCCCCAAGGGGTGGATACCAGTTGAAGGGGAAAGACCCTTAAAGATTGGGATCCCTGCAAGGGGTGCGTTCAATCAATTTGTGAAAGTAAGCTACGATCAGGAGAGGAATGAGACACAAATATCTGGATTTTCAATTGATGTTTTTGAAGCAGCAGTCAAACATCTCCCTTATCAATTGCCTTATGTGTTTGTTCCCTTCAATGGCTCATATGATGAATTGGTGCAACAGGTCTACTACAAGGTAGAAATTCTTCTTCTTTTGAACTGTATTTGACCTTATTATAGCATGACAATTTGATTCTTTGTGCAATAGGGCTTGGATGCAGCAGTTGGTGATATAGAAGTCGTAGCGGATCGGTATCGTTTTGTTGAATTCTCACAGCCATATGTGAGCTCTGGACTTGTGATGGTAGTCACTGTTAAGCCAGATAAGCTGAAGGAAAAATGGATGTTCATGAAGACCTTCACCAAAAGCATGTGGTTCCTCATGATTGTGGCACACCTTTCTGTATGCTTTGTCGTCTGGTTAATTGAAAATGAACATGGAGACAACCTTGAACTAAAGGGCATTGGGGCCATCCTTTGGTTCTCTGTCACTGTCCTGTTCTTTGCACAGAGTAAGTACTGAATCCCAAAAGCTTACGCTGTTTGAAAATGGACGGACAATGTATATCAAGCTAAAATCCTAGATGTCGATCTAAAATATGCAGGAGAACGAGTTCAGAGCAATTGGGCTCGGTTGGTGCTGGCTCCATGGTTAGTGGTGATTCTTGTTGTGACAGCTACTTTCACTGCAAGCCTCACCTCCATGATGACCGTCTCTCGAGTTCAGCCGTCTGCTCTTGATGTTGAAACACTTAAGAGAACAAATGCAACTGTTGGGTGTAATGGTAATTCTTTTATTGTTAGATACTTGATTAATGTTTTAGAATTCAAACCAGAAAATATCAAAAGCATTGCCTCAATAAGTGACTACCCAAATGCCTTTGAGAGGAAAGATATTGCTGCAGCTTTCTTTGTTGCCCCCCATGCTAAAGTCTTCCTTGCAAAGTACTGCAAGGGATATATCAATTCAGGACCAGTTTACAAGCCTAGCGGCTTTTCATTTGTGAGTATCTCTCCTTCCTTATGTTTAATTTGTTAACCAATCTTTAATAAATAAAACTTTTGTAAGGTTGATATACATTGTTGACTCTTCTTTTGATAACCTCTTCACACGCAAAATGTACTTGGCACATGAATTCCATCTACGTGAGATATTCAATCCATAATACCATCAATAAATACGATACACACGTAGACTGAGAATCATTTATGTAAACATGTCATATTTTACAAAACATTACTCATTTTCAATCACCTCTAAACTTATCTAATTCCTGCATTTTTCATTAAATGTTTCAGGTTTTTCCGAAGGGTTCTCCTTTGGCTTTTGACATGTCAGAGGCAATCCTAGAGACCAATGAGAGAGGACAAGTGGAACAACTAGAAAAACAAATGCTCTCCTCTTATAACTGCTCCTCTTCAATCAAGTTGGAGAATGAAGATTCCATAGGTCCTGGGCCTTTCTCTGGCCTCTTCTTAATTTCGGGTTTCATTTGTGCATCTGCATTTTTCGTCACAGTTGTGCGTATAGCGGGTAGGCATATGCAGAACTTGAGCTGCATACGATCAATGTTGATCAACACAAGAATTTGGAGATGGGCTTCGATATCCTTAACCTTAGCCATGAGCTGCAGAAAATCTAAAAGCCAGTGTCCCACAAGAAGCTCGATGGTGAAGCCAAACAGCCAAGGAGAAAAGCTTGATGAGCTAGAACGCAATTCAATGAGTACCGGAATGGTAATTATTACTCAACACTGAAATTAGTTTAACAATTTGTATGTTGCAAAACCAAATTCTTCCATGAAGAATTGTAAATACAAAGAACTTAACTTGTATACTAGAAGATTCAATGAAGGTTGTGTATAGTTTTAACCTTTCTGATGCAATTCAATTTTTCTCAGCAATTATGTAATTGACCACACTTTTGGAGTTTACGTTTAATTGTGTAACGATGAAATCTTGCAATTTTTTTTAAGAAGAGGTTTCCTTAGGGCTGTTGGGCCTTTTTGCAACAATAATAAAAGAATTTTCTAAGTGATCAAAGGGCAATGTAATGGCTAAAAATGGCAAAGTTGGTGCATGCACTATTTTTTATGAGTGATAAACTATAGACCACCTTTCAAGGAACTTTTCTCTTTTATAATTACCCAATGGGCATACAGGGTGAGAATTCTTTGCACTTTGAGGAGGAAGGAAAAACAAAACAAAAAAGAATTGAGTGGCTGGCTCTAACAATTAGAATCATGATTAAATGCACAAAATGGTAATGATTTTTTTAATTCCTAAACAGTCCAATCATAATCCTACGGTCATGATCAAACCAATCAGACTCCCCCACACGATCCCCTCGTGACGCACACGTTTCAGCGCCTTGACCCCGGGACCACGAAAAGTTGATCAAAACCACGGGTCACCTAAATCCAAATCCCAAAACGCAGACCGGCACAAACTAACACGACACGGTCCCAGCAAGTCCAGGCTCGAAACGTAAGTCTCACGCACCGGATCGAAACCCGTACAGTACAGCCAATTTAGATTCACAACCCTCTTTGCTTGTTAAATTTGCAATGTATAGATCTCCGCCGACACAGCCATCCACCAATACAGTGTCCTTTTTTGTCTCTCCCTCTCTCTCTCCTCTTTCTTTCTCTCTCTAAAAAGTCAGAAATGAAAAATAATTAAATAAAAAAATTGCCTCCGAGATTCCAGTTCATGCGAGGAAAACGATGGCGTCGATTGCACTCCATTCCCTAGAAAGCCAAAAACAAAAACAAAAGCAAAACAGATTAACATTTT